AAATCCAGGTGCTGTGGCTCAGACCTATAGTCCCAGTGCTCTGGGAGGCTGAGGAGGGCAAATCACTTGAGGTCAGGAGTTTGAGATCAGCCTAGCCAACATGGTAAAATCCCTGTCTCTACTAAAAATACAAAGAGTTAGCTGGGCATGGTGGCACACACCTGTAGTTCCAGCTACTTGGGAGGCTGAGGCACTTTAACCTGGGAGGCGGAGGTTGCAATGAGTTGAGATTGTGCCTCTGCACTCCAGCCTGTGCAACAGAGCAAGACACCATCTCAAAAACAAAAACAGAAACGAAAACAAAAAGACGCAAAAAGAAAAAAAAAAAAAGAATGATTTGCTTTAGATATAAGGGGCTGTCTGAGGTCCAGTGTGGGGTTCCTCCTTGCTTTCTGATTTTTTTCTTGCCTAAGGTACCTGGCCTTGGCTAGTGGTGTGTGGCCAGGCCTGTTTGATGATTTCTGAAAGAGATATTTTCATTATTCTCCCCCAACATTAATTCAATAAAATTCAATGCTTCACAATCACTCAGGCAGGGCCCTATTCTCTGTACTGAAGATACAAAAAAGTAAATTAAACACTGTCACTGTCCTTAAGGAATTCAGAATGTAATGGAAGATGTAGCTTGGACATAACACCTAATGATGATCACCATCAAAAGAGTGACAAAAAAAGGTGTTATGAAAGCTCAGAGCAGGAGATGAAAGGGAACGTCTCATGTAGGAAGTGATATGTAATCTGTGCCTGGGAGAGTGGTGGGAAGGGAACAGAAGGAAATGCATGGCTAAATCTACACATACCTCATTTCATTTTCAATGGCTTAGGAATATAGAATAATCCTGAATGGCTGAAATCAAAATAAAAGATAATGAAGTGGAAATGTGGGTGAGCTCCAGATTGTGAAGGCTGTTACAAACGGCAACTTGAATTTGTTATTTAGTTTTGTGGCAAAGAGATTTTTGAACAGCAGAGTGGCACAATCATTTCTCTGTTCACCTGACAACAATGAAGGCAGCTTGAGGACACAGACTGCCTTTGGTTCTTTGAATCTTAGTGTCTGACATGTCTAGGGTATTCAATTAAAAGTATGTTAGTCTGCAAGAGAATGATCGTAATTAAGAGTCACAGCCATGAGATCACAAAGAAGTAATTGAAAGTTGATACGAAAGACAGTGAGGGCCTACAGTTTTGGGGGGCATTTCTGTTTTTGTTACCAGCATATAAAACTTGGGAAACTTCACATAAATATATTTCTGGGTTCTCTGAAAAAACAGAACAGGATACCCTAGACTCTGTTTTCAAACCTGACTGAAGTTATCTGGCAATAAATAGTGGTCTTTACCTTTGCATGGCACTGGTAGTAGTCTCTTGTTCACCACCTGGTCCACTCATGACTCCCCCAGCTCCTCTATATTTGAGTTTGAGATTCCCAACTTAGGGTATTTTCACACCTTGACAGTGATGGCAGTCATCTAGATAGAACAGGGGGAATATCTGAATTAGGAGTGGGTTGTTAGTGCTTCAAATATGAAAAGGATTTAAGAATGTCCTTTACTGAGGTAGAAGAGTCAGAAGTGAGAGAGAAACATGGAAGTAGAAGAGTGTGTTCTGGGCTGAATTGTGTTCCCCCAAAATTCTTATCTTGACATCTCATATGGTTTGCCTGTGTCCTCACCCAAATCTCATCTTGAATTGTAGCTCCCATAATTTCCACATGTTGTGGGAAAGAGCAGGTGGGAGATAATTGAATAATGGGAGTGGTTTCCCCATACTGTTCTCATGGTAGTAAGGAAGTCTCACGAGATCTGACGATTTTGTAAAGGGTTTCCCTTTTTGCTTCACTCTCATTCTCTCTTGCCTGCCACCATGTAAGACATGCCTTTTGCCTTCTGCCATGATTGTGGGACCTCCTCCCCAGCCAGGTGGAACTGTAATCCATTAAACCTCTCTTTCTTTATAAATTATCTAGTCTTGGCTATGTCTTTATCAGCAGCGTGAGAACAGACTAATACAATGTTCTAACCCCCAGTACCTCAGAATGTGACCATATTTGGAGATAAGGCCTTCAAAGAGGTGATTAAGTTAAAATTAGGCCTTTAGGGTTGCACCCTAACCCAGTATGACTGGTGTCCTTGTAAGAAGAGGAAGAGACACCAGGAGCACCCATGCACAGAGGGACTGCCATGTTAAGAGGCAGCAAGAGGGTGGCCTCTCCAGCCAGAGAGGCCTCAGAGGAAACCAAACTTACAGATGCTTTCATCTTAAACTTCTAGCTTCCAGAACTGTGAAAATAAATTGCTGTTGTTTGAGCCAAAAAAACAGTAAAGATGGTGAGGGCCTGGATTTAATTATAGGTACTAGAAGTTTGCAAAAGGAGACAATATGGGGTGGGTTTTATTTATATATTCTATTTGTGAAACTATAGACTTAACAGTTTGTGGAAAGTAATAGAAGCAGTGGGAGAGTGGGCCTTCTATGATTGCTCTGCTATTGGCATAGATAAGGTGGCTGATAATTATCCCCTGTTCAATAGACTTGTGTCAAGGTATCATATATATTTACAGGTAGAGATAGTGACTCTGGTGGTTTTTTTAGACACCATGAGAAATCTGGTGATTTATGGTTTATTTCATGTACTGTATAGACACCCCTTTATAACCATGGGGGATTGCTTCCAGAACCCCTCATAGATATCAAAATCTGAGATGCTTAAGTCCATTATACAAAATTGGGTAGTATTTGCACATAACCTATAAAATCCTCTGGTGTACTTTAAATAATATCTAAATAAGATATATACCTAATGAAGTGTAAATATTATGTGAGTAGTTGTTAAACTGTATTGCTTTAAAATTTGCATTTTTTTTTTTTTTTCAGATGGAGTCTTGCTCTGTTGCCCAGGCTGGAGTACAGCGGCGGGATCTCAGCTCACTGCAAGCTCCATCTCCCGGGTTCACGCCATTCTCCTGCCTCAACCTCCTGAGTAGCTGGGACTACAGGCGCCCGCCACTGCGCCTGGCTAATTTTTTGTATTTTCACAGTGTTAGCTAGGATGGTCTCGATCTCCTGACCTTGAGATCTGCCCGCCTCGGTCTCCCAAAGTGCTGGGATTACAGGCATGAGCCACCACACTCGGCCTAAACTTTGCAATATTTTTAATTGTTCTATTATTTTCTTCAAATACCTTTGATCAGCGTTGGTTGAATCTGTGGATGCGGAACCCAAGGACACGGAGGGTGGGAGAGTACACCGTGATGAGGCAATTGAGAGGTGCCCAACTAAGTGCGGGTCCTCTCAAGAGTCGGGATTTCTCTTCCCCTTTTCTTCTAGGGCCTGGGTCCTGGTCACCACCTAATGGCATTTAAACCAGTAAAATATTACTCCTCACTAAGTTTAGACTATGGCGGATTCCATAGTTGCCTTAAGTTTATGGCTAACCCTTCTCTTTACTTGTTCTTTTCTGGAACTGTGTCATTTCACCTAAGCTGCTGATGAATTAGTTGAGGAAACTCAGGAGGAATCACAACTCACACCCCAAGGAGAGCTCAGATGCCAGTGTGGCAAGAAGGGCACAAATAAAAAGGCAGGTCAGGGTCAGCAGCCTGTCCAGGGAGGCCAGGAGAGCTCACCTGAAAGCTGCACGGTGGAGGTGAGAGGTGAAAGCGTGCTGGCAGCCCTCCCACTCGGCGCCTCCTCAGCCTCCGCGTCCACTCTGGCGGCGCTTGAGAAGCCCTTCAGCCCCTCACTGCACTGTGGGAATCCTTCTCTGAGCCGGCGGAGGCCGGAGCCCGCTCCCTCTTCTTGCAGGGAGGTGTGAAGAGACAGGCGCGGGCGGGAACCAGGGCGGCTCCGGGCGCTCAGGGGCCAGCGCGAGTTCTGGCGGGCGCGGGCTTGGTGGGCCGGGCACTCAGTGCCGCCAGCCGATGCCACAGGCCCAGGACAGTGAGGGGCTTAGCATCCGGGCCAGCAGCTGGGGAGGGTGCGCTGGGTCCCCCAGCACTGCCGGCCCGCCAGCACGGGGCTGAATTCTCTCCCGGCCTCAGCCTCAGACGCCTACCCGCAGGGCAGGGCTCCCACCTGCAGCCTGCCATGCCCGAGCACCCGCCGGGTGAACTCCCGGGTGGGCGGAGCCTCCCGGAGGGGCGCCGCCCCCTGTGCCTTGGCGCCCAGTCCCATCCACCTCCCCGCTGAGGGCTGCAGGCGGTGGACTGGCGGGCAGTCTGCAGGGCCCTGGTCGGGGATCCACTAGGCAAAGCCAGCTGGGCTCCTGAGTTGGGTGGGGACTTGGAGAACTTTTATGTCCAGCCAGAGGATTATATATGCACCAATCAGCACTGTGTGTCTAGCTCGGGGGTTTGTGGATGCACCAACCAGCACTCTGTATCTAGCTAATCTGGTGGGGACTTGGAGAACCATTTTGTCTAGCTAAGGAATTGTAAATACACCAATCAGCACTCTGTGTCTAGCTCAAGGTTTGTAAACACACCAATCAGCACCCTGTGTCTACCTCAAGGGTTGTAAACGCACCAATCAGTGCTCTGTGTCTAGTTGAGCTGGTGAAGATTTGGAGAACTCTTATCTCTAGCTAGAGGATTGTAAATGCACCAGTCAGCACTCTGTCAAAACGGATCAATCAACTCTCTGTAAAATGGACCAATCAGGTCTCTGTAATATAGACCAATCAGCTCTCTGTAAAATGGACCAATCAGCAGGATGTGAGTGGGGCCAGATAAGGGAATAAAAGCAGTCTGCCCCAGCCAACAGTGGCAACCCCATAGGCTCACTTTCCGAACTGTGGAGGTTTTGTTCTTTAGCTGTTAATAATGAATCCTGGCGCTGTTAATTGTGGGTTCACGCTGCCTTTATGAGCGGTAACACTCACTGGCAAGGTCTGCAACTTCACTCCTGAAGCCAGTGAGACCACGAACCCATCGGGAAGAATGAACAACTCCAGAGACGCTGCTTTTGAGAGCTGTAACACTCACCGTGATTGTCTGCAGCTTCACTTCTGTCAGCGAGACCACGAACCCACCAGAAGGAAGAAGCTGCAGACACATCTGAACATCTGAAGGAACGAACTCCAGACACCATCATTAAGAACTGTAACATTCACCATGAGGGTCCGTGGCTTTATTGTTGAAGTAAGTGAGACAACCCACCAATTCCAGACACAGAGGTGGCATAGGAGGCTGAGATTGCCAGGTTTCCCAGGGTAACAGAGGTGGTAGAGGTAGCTAGAGAGGCCAGCCTGGAAGAGGTGGCCAGGGTGGTCAGTACAGAGGCGCTCCTATCGGCCAGTGAAGAAGGAAACCAGCTAAAGATGGCCTTTTGTAATTCCCTAAATCCTACCTTTATTTTGTTAAATAATCTGCTGAATTTCTTTTTAAATTTCCTAATTATTGTTTCTTGTTGGTTTTAATTTCTCTTATTTAAAAAATCTTGACTTTAATCTCCCTTAAAGCCTTTGTCTAGATGTGTATTTACTACAATTTGCCTTGTTTCCACCTTACCCAAAGACAAGTCGCCTTCGTTTTTATAAGAGCAAGTGCTATTTCCGCTCTGAGGTTTTTCTGACACTTTTACGTTAGCCCACAGCCTACGCAAGTTCTACCCTTTTCTTTCTGTATTTTTTCTTCTCCTTCTTTTCCTCCTCTCCTAGCCGCCGCCTCCTCCTTCCCCTCCCCACTTCCTTCTCCTTTTTCTGTTGGTGTCTTGTGTTGGGAGACCACTTAATGGCAGAGCTATCAGGCATAGATGATGCCCAGGTTAATTTATTACTTCCATCTGAAATCTTTCTCTTTGCTTCAGAGACTGACGGAGCTCAAATGGTGACGAAAGACCTTTTGAAAGTGCAAATTTCTGAGTCTTTCTTTTCTCAAACTACCAAACATCAAAGTCACCAGCCTTAAAGCCTTGGCTTTTGTTTGCTTTTTAGGATCATGATTCTTAGTCAAGGGACACAAAAATAGGGAGATACGGGGCCCTGACTGGACTCCTACTGGTCTGTATTGTGGAGCTTTAAGGGAGCTCAACTTTTAATATAATTTTTATGAGGGCTTAACTACCAGCAATGTTTGAAATGAAACTATTTTTATTCTTGACAATAGTAACTAGATTATCAATACACATATGCTTTTCTCAGTGCAAACACAGGGAAAGTTACCTTGTGAACTTCCTTCGTCAGAGGCAATCTAGCAAGGCACCTGAGCCATTTTGTTACATTTTTGTTTATAGCTCGGATTCATGAGGGCCTGCGGAACCTCAGCATGCACTGTTAGAGATGACTTACCAATCAGCTGTCAATCAGGCAAATTTCCCCTTAGTTTATAGACATGCAGATATACCTTATACATTATTTTGAGATCACACAGTTGACTTAATTCTGCATATATGAATATGTGAAAATTATGTGAGTAAAACCTGGTGATGGTACCAGAAGTAGGCAAAGTATAGAAGAAGATGCATATAATGGGTTGAATGTGTCCTCCAAAAATTTATATGATCCTGAACTAACATCAATATCTCTGAATGTGGCCTTATTTGAAAATAGGGTGGTTGTAGATGTAATTAGTTAAGATGACTTATATGATTAGGGGCTGACAGCCCTGTGACTGGTGTCTACAAAATGTGGAGATTTGGACACAGACATGAACACGGAGAATACCGTGTGACGATCAAGGCAGAGATTAGGGTGATATAGCAGAAGCCAAGGGATGCCCAAGATCACTGGCAAACTACAGGAAGCTAGGAGGGAAGCACGGGAGGAATTCTTCCTTATGGCCCTAACACGGAACCATCTTGAGTCAATAACTTGATCTCGAACTACATCCAGAACTGGGAGAGAATATATTTCTGTTGTTTAAGGCACCCAAGCAGTGGATACTTTGCTACAGCAGCCCTAGCAAACTAATGCTGTGAGAAAGTTCACCTATCAGATTTGTTTTTAAAGAATGAGCGTAGCCTAATTACACTGTTTTTATTCCATTCCACCTGCAGAGCCTTAGTGGAGGTCAACAGAGAGAGGTGTTAGAGGCATGCATCTCTCAGTTGCTGGGCTCACAGTCAAGCTAGTGGTTGTGTCTAGCTGAGAATTTCTTTGCTTTTCTGAGTGTCAAAATATAGTTATACCTACGAGGAATCTCCTATGTGAATGCAGAAGACCCCCAAAAAAGATTGACTCTAAAATCAGTTGAGGATAAAAATGAAGGCTCGAATGGCATTTCTATTAAGGTTATAGTTTACTTTTAATGTTAGGATTAATGAAGAATTTATAGAAGGAGAAATGAAAAATATTTAATTCTGTTGATTTCCACATGCACGATCACGTTTAATTCTAGAATCAGATTTAGAACTGACCTTTCTCTTGGAAGCAAAATTAAGATTTGATAGTCCTGTTTTTCTCAGTGCCTGGATTCCTGATAGAATTTCCCTCTAGCTTCTGAAGTAATATGACCTCTCTGCGAATGAATATGACTAGATTCATGTTCAAACATATATGAGTGTAATCCGAAATATACTAAAACAGATAAACCTGAGGGTAGAAATATTTGGAACTGATTAAGGTGAGGATTAAAGAATAAATGTTTTCTTTTTGTGTTGCAAGCAGGCTAGCAGCCTTATTTGTGATCTTTTCTAATGTTTCATTAAAACATTTATTGAAGGTATAAAAAAGCTAAAAAACCAAAACCAATGAACCTCATAACATTAGGTAGTACAGATAATTGACATTAATTTACTTGGTAATGAGTTGGTATCATTTCAATCAAAATATTGGTCAGCAAAGATCATGTCCCATACCCAATCAATACAGTTTTGTGTAATACAAGCATAGCAAATAGGCAAGGACATTCACAAATAAAATAGAAATGTATGTATAAATGTATGTATGTATGTACAAATGCCGTATATATGTATATGGCACATTTTCTTTATCCACTCACTGATTGATGGGCATTTGGGCTGCTTTCACATTTTTGCAATTGCAAATTGTGCTGCTACAAACATGCACGTGCATGTATCTTTTTCATATAATCACCACTTTTCTTCTGGGTAGATACCTAATAGTGGGACTGCTGGATCAAACGGTAGATCTACTTTTAATTCTTTAAGGAATTCCCAAATTGTTTTCCATAGTGATTGTACTAGTTTACATTCCCACCAACAGTGTAAAAGTGTTCCTTTTTCACCATATTCACACTAACGTCTATTATTTTTTGATTATGGCCATTCTTGCAAGAGTGTGGTGGTATTACATTGTGGTTTTGATTTGCATTTCCCTAATAATTAATGATGTTGAGCATTTTTCCGTATGCTTGGTATCCATTTGTATACTTTCTTTTGAGAATTGTTTATTTATGTCCTTAGCCCACTTTTTGATGAGATTGTTTGTTTTCTTGCTAATTTGAGTTCTTTATGGATTCTGGATATTAGTCCTGTGTCAGAAGTATAGATTTTGAAGCTGTGGGTTGTCTGTTAACTGTGCTGATCATTCCTTTTGCTGTGCAAATGCTTTTTAGTTTAATGAAGTCCCATCTATTTACCTTTGTTTTTGTTGCATTTGCTTTTGTGTTCTTCGTCATGAAGTCTTTGGCTAACTCAGTGTCTAGAAGGGTTTTTCTGATATTATCTTCTAGAATCTTTATGGTTTCAGGTCTTAGATTTAAGTGTTTGATCTGTCTTCAGTTGACTTTGTATAAGGTGAGAGATGAGGATCCAATTTCATTCTTCTACATGTGGCTTGCCAATTATCTCAGCACCATTTGTTGAATAGGGCATCCTTTCTCCACTTTATGTTCTTGTTTGCTGTTTTGAAGATCAGTTAGCTGTAAGCATTTGGCTTTATTTCTGGGTTCTCTATTTTGTTCCATCGGTCTATGTGCCTATTTTTATACCAGTACCATGCTGTTTTGGTGACTATGGCCTTATATTATAGTTTGAAGTCAGATAAAGTGGTGCCTCCAAATTTGTTCCTTTTACTTTGTCTTACTTTGGCTATGTGGGATCTTTTTAAAATTTCATTTGAATTTTAGAATTTTTTTTTCTAGTTGTTTGAAGAATGATGGTGGTATTTTGATGGGAATTGCATTGAATTTATAGATTGCTTTTGGCAGTAGGGTCATTTCACAATATTAATTCTACTTATTCATGAACATGGGATGTGTTTCCGTTTGTTTGTGTCACCTATGATTTTTTTTTAGCAGTGTTTTGTAGTGTTCCTTGTAGAGGTCTTTCACGTCCTTGGTTAGGTATATTCCTAAGGTTTTGTTTTGTTTTTTTTGCAGCTGTTGTAAAAGGGGTTGAGTCTTTGATGCTCATCTTGGTCACTGTTGGTGTTTAGCAGAGCTACTTATTTGTGTACACTAATTTTGTATCCTGAAACTTTACTGAAAATATTTACCAGTTCTGGAGCTTTTTGAATGAGTCCTTAAGGTTTTCTAGATATACATTCATATCACCAGCATTGACAGTTTGACTTCCTCTTTACCAATTTGGATGCCCTTTATTTCTTTCACTTGTCTGGCTAGGACTTCCAGTACTATATTGAATAGAAGTGGTGAAAGTGGGTATCCATGTTTTGTTCCAGTTCTCAAAGGAAATGCCTGCAACTTTTTTTCCATTCAATATAATGTTGGCTGTTGGTTTGTCATAGATGGCTTTTAGTACCTTAAGAATGCTCCTTCTATACTGATTTTGTTGAGGATTTTAATCATAAAGTGATGCTGGATTTTGTCAAATGCTTTTCTGCTTCTATTGAGACATCATGTAATTTTTCTTTTTAATTCTTTTTATGTGATGTATCACATTTATGAACATGTATGTTAAACCATCTCTGCATTCCTGATATGAAACCCACTTGGTCATGGTGTATTATCTTTTTGATATGCTGTTGGATTCAGTTTGCTAGTACTTTATTGAGGATGTTTGTATCTATGTTAATCAGGGATATTGGTCTGTAGTTTTCTTTTTTTTTTATGTCCTTCCCTGGTTTTGGTATTAAGGGTGATACTAGCTTCATAGAACGATGTAAGGAGAATTCCCTCTTTCTCTATCTTTTGCAATAGTGTCAATAGGATGGGTACCAATTCTTCATTGAATGTCTGATAGAATTCAGCTGTGAATCCATCTGGTCCTGGACTTTTTT